TTTACAAAAAACCAAAAATTTCGCTTTCAATTTTGCAACTTATGTCCACATGGTTTCTCACTATAGACAAGCCAAGTGAAATTGAAATATAAATACTGATATGATTGAAACAAGAAAAGAACATATCCTATTATTCGTATGACAGAAAAATATATTTATTTACCAACGCTACTTATCTCGATAATCTTGCATTTCAAGCTTTTCAACAGTAGCCGAGAAAGTGTAAATTAAATTAAAATAGACTCATATCTATTCAATAACTTCACGAATTGCCACCTTGACGTATGTAGATTAGGTTTCGTTTTTAGATTCTTTTCTCCTAAGTTCTTATAACTGAATAATTGATACAGCTGAGTTTATTTGAAAAAAATTATTTACACTTGAAAAATTTTCAATATAATCGTATGAAATGATCACTCGTAAAATCTGAAAAAGACTCATAGCTTCAGATTGAAGTAACAATGAATTTAGCTTATTTAGAAAATAAACAAATGTTAATCAAAATTAAACGGGTTGAAATCAATCAATTAAAATGAAATTCTTTAAGATATTTAAAATTCAAATAAACTAATATAATTCTGTTTTTAGAAATATAACTGATTTCAATCATTATTTTTATAGAAGATTCGAAAACAAAATCAAATTTTCTTCAGGTGATTTGATTCTTATTTTAATCATATTAAGGGAGGCCCCTTCCCCCCTCAGAAAATCCAATTTTTCGGAGACGAGTCGAAATTGAAGTTTTATCGTAGGAAGATGCATCGAAATCTCCTCTTTCAGAACATCTATGGTTTATCAAAAAATGAATTGATTTTGGCGAACTGATCGTCTAAAACTCGGCTCCTACTGTCATATTTTTCGAGAAATTCTCAGAGGTTTTTTCAAGCTTTTTCGATTTTTTTAGGCTACTTTCTGTTTGCATCAGCATCTCGTAAAGTTTTTTTCTATACAAATCACTAAGAGACTATGAATACTTTATATTGAGATCACATTTTTATAGCCTGTCTAGAACATGGATATATAAATCAGGTGATTTTCGGAAAAATCGATTTCTAATACTTATTTTCCGTTTTTCTCAAAACGAATTTTTTCGAGCATACCATTTACGCGGGCAAGGTTTTTTCAATAACGACTCCATAAATAAGGGATAATTTTTTTTTGTTGAATAGAGGACAGTTAGGGCTAGGTCATAATAGAGTCCGATTTTGGAATTTCTCTTTTGCTGACATAAAAAAGTTAGATATTTCATTTTTGTTAGCAGGATTTTTGGGTACAATTTCGTGGATTTTGCGGAAAAGAGTTTTTAAAAATCTAACAAAGGGAAATTCAAAGATCGGGCTCTATTACGACCTAGCCCCAAGGGTGCTCTACAATCTGAAAACCGCGCAGGCTTGTTAGCTCATATCCTTATTGTGAAATCCTTGCCCGCGTAAACGGCAATGAATCGACTAGAACTCATGCATTTCTTTGAGATTTGGGAAGATATTTTAACCATAAGCTATTCTAGTCAAGACTAACATTCTCGGAAATTTTGGTTGAAATCGGATGAAAAATAACAAACGAGATTTCTTCCAAATTTAAACGAACTGAAAGAAAAAAAATGTGGATCGTTGTCAATCATTA